AGAATTTCTTGTTTTTCGTATGCGAAACGATAAGGTAAATTGATTCCATCCAATTTATCCGAAATTGGTGATTTAAGGCAAGAATCAGTTGAGGTCTTGCGTGACGTATGGCCCATCTCTCGATTGGCACATTCCGTTCGGTAACCGGTAGAGTGCCATCAATGTAGATCTACTCCCCGATTGGTTTCCCGGGGTCTCGGGAATTTTCGATCTTCTGGTCCGTAGGGACGACTGCTCGCAAATATCGGGCGAAATCGTCCAATGTTCTTCGTAGTTGGCTCCGAGTCGGAAGAATCCGCTGACGTTAGATCTCCCGGCTGGGTCGATTGTTCCATTTTGTTCAATGGGTGGTGAAGCACGGACATAAGTTCCCTTTTCGATTGCTTTTGTCTCGAGAATTCTCGGTTTCCCGGCCAGCGACGGTTAGTGTTAAATCGCACGAGCCGGATGGACTGGACCGACTTGAATTTGCTGCTCACATCCGTGGAACACGGGGAGAAAAAAGTTGTTATAATTACTACATTTGGGATAGATATAACAGCAATTGCTGGTAAATATAAGGGCAGCAGTTCTACAATGTAATGATTACTCTGCTAAAAATGTCAAATGTGCAATTTCATTGTAGTATACGTTATTACAGAGAATGATTACAGTTACAACGATACGACAGGTATATTTACAATCGTGAGAGCATAAACTCGTCAACTGAAGCAATAGTTACCACATAACGTGTGTATATGATAACGTTCGCTAATGTACCCTTTACTGTTGATACATGTAGAAAGTAACATGCAGCAACGCATTTATTACTGTTGGGGTAGCTAGAAAATACAATAGCGACATGTGTATATTACAGTCAGCTCGTGTAAAAATTACCATTGACAAACGTACATATATGTTGCCGTTGCTGCATGTAAAAAGTATCATTGTAGACGGTATCCTTTTCTGTCGGGAACTCGGGAAATCACTACAGATATAATACATTGAAAACGGTAAATATTTGTTTTATGTAAAGCTTACCTTGGAACGATCGTTGTAGGTTTTCTAACCTCTACTCTTGAAGTTCATTTTTTACAAAGTCATCCATGTAGTCACTTAATCAAACTATTACAATGAATTGAAAAAGTAAAACTCGATCTTAAATTAGATCGAAAACCGAATTTCGAAAAGGACCAAATGATGCGGCTACCGAAGTCACAATGAATCTAACAGTTCGCAGAACTGCGCAACTAATGCATGTCACGACCCGAATGCTTCTCGCGCTGTGTCTTAAACGCACAATAGGAACAACAACAGTTCACGTTTGTAATTGTTTTTAAATTTTGCAATTGTAATGGCATTTTTACCCGTGCCTTTATATGTATAATTTTTACTTTCCAATGTTCTATATGTAATACTGTCAGATGCAAATATAACTACAATTTATTTACAAGAATTCTGCAGTTGGTGCTACAGTCGCAATGGTTAAAAGGACAAAAAATTGTAATTACATCTACAATAATTGTTGTTAAGGTTACAACGATACTTTGACCCGCGAGCATATGTAATGATTACAATATTATTTTTCTGCGCGAAGGAAATGACCCAGAGCGGAGACTACGCTGACACTTTTATGAGCTGTTAAAGACACGGAAAAAGCTACACGCGTGAAAATCCGCCCACTCTTTGAAAGATCGAAGAATTACTCCTAATTATACAATTTGTCCCCTCTTATCACTAGTTATTGCTCTGCATTTAGTTTGAGCGGCATGGCAGAAGTTACGCAAAATCTCTCATAATGATTCTCGACTGAAAGATTTTTTCCCCTTCTCCTATCTGTGATTATTTTTCATATTTAATTTGAGGTTCGTGACAGAGAAGTCACGTTGATATTTTTCCGAGCTACCGAAACTCGTCTAAACGTGCCACGTAAAAACCTACCCAACCTTTGAAACCTTGAATTATTTCTAACTTTAGACGTTTCCATCACATTTAATTCCTGAACCTTGACAACTCGTTAAATTTCCAAATGTAAGGCATCCTTAAAAAATCTGAATCGCGTGAAATAAGTGATATCAATTTAATTGATAATAAATTGCCGTGAACTTCGAGAACTAACCCTCTAAATCATATTCGATGCATGTACTTCCTCTCCTTTTCTTTTCTTTTTCGTGCTTTAATCATCACCGCCCATCAGAAATTTGACAAGCCGCGTTTCATCCCGAGTCTCATGCCAGATGTAATTGTCGCATTTAAACCTCTTTTCCAGTAGCATTCTTGAATTTCGGTCCGCTAATCGCGAGGCCGGGAGTCTAAATCGTCCAATCGGAGCGCGACCATCCGGCCTCCGCAAGCGGAAGCGAGCGGTGACGGAAGCGGTCCGCTCGCTATATCGAACAAGCTCGTCCATTCTGGGCGGTTCTCGCCGCTTAAATGGCCCGTTGAACGTAGTCGGCGTCGCCGATAAAGTGGACACGCGGTGGACATAAGTCATAAGTCCGCCTCCCGATGGCTTTTGTCTTGCGGCCCGATTGTCTTCCTGTTGGCGTCCATGGGATCGGTCACGTTCGCCAATGGGTTCGCGCAATCGATGGACGCGTAAGTGAGATTTATCCGTCCCCGAGACGCTTACTCGCAATCGTCGCGGCTTTTTACGACGCCTCGTCGAAAAGCCGACGCTTACTCGTCGGAACCATGGACGGAGGATATATGGATCCGCCAATCTAACCGTTTCCCTTTGATATTCCGTGAAGGCTGTAAAAAAGATGACGGGTAGAAGGGCTATTATTTTTCTCCTTTTTTAAAGTTGAAAGGGCTGTGGCCATATTGGAGGGTTTCGCGTAATAAGAGAGCAAGGAAACAGTCCCTTTATTTCCTCTCTTTCATTTCTTATATCTTCATACAGCGATGAAGAAAATATTCATTGAACCAAAGAAATATTTTGTTCATTCCAAGGATAATTATTTGACTCTAATAAACTCAAATGAATGGTCATAATTACGAGGAATCGTTGCATCCAATTTGTTTGAGTTTATTTGAGGGAAATAATTATTCTTTGAATGAAGAAAAGATTTCTTTGGTACAATCACGTTTTTTTTTCTCTCAGTGTAGTAATATCAATATGAGGGATTTACATATTCTATTATACACGTCCATGAATCTGACTTTGAAAGCAGCAAATCTGAAAGAAAGCAATGAGAAGGGCTGTCTTTTTTCTCTTTTTTTTTTTCTCGCCATAATGCGTCGCTCAATGAATCCCCATAAAAGAAAGAAGAAGAGCAAGAAAACAGCCCCTTTATTTCCTTTCTTTCGTTTTTGATGTGTTCGTAGTTAAATTTAGGGGCAAAATCCATACATTTTATACGTCATGGTTGAAATGACGATAGGGAACAATTTCTCGAAAGAGCGATTCGATTAATCTCGCCAGAGTAATCGCTAGCCATGAAATTCTATCTTCCCTCCGGTGACGTCATGGCGAAGGTGCATCGTCATCAAGTACATGTTAATCTTCATGTACATTCCTCGGGATAACATCTGCAACGCCGCCGGTGATTTCGATTCCTGAACGTTGAACTCAGTCCTCGCGACGTTCCCACATCGCCGTACAGATATGTAATAAATAACGTTAAACCTTTGATGTTCATCATGAAGATGCCGCACTAGCTTCTGTGATGATGTCCCATGAATATGCAAATGACAGCGTCTAATCAGACGCCCGAAAAGCTAGCGAAACGGGTCTATACTCCGGAAATCACTCTGTTAATTATAAATATTACATTGCTTTATGCAAGTCTTTAATTATTGTACGTGGAAAATGGAAGTCTGTGCACTGAACAAACATTTTTCATTTAACCAGAGAAATATTTTCTTAATTCGAAGAATAACTATTTGACTGAAATGAAATCGAATAAATCGGATACGACGTTTCTTCGGAATTGTGGCAACTAATTCGAATGAAATAATTATTGTTTGTATTGAAAGTACATTTCTTTGGTACTGTTCAATGAAATATTTCTCTGGTTTAGGGAAGTATATTTTCTCAGGGCGCGTGAATACTTTTTTCCAGCAGTAAATATCGATTCTTTTCTGCCAATGCATGCCCTGAATGCAGCGAAACATCATGTGCATTCTGACAGAGAAATGTTCTCGCACGTTGCGGTTATGAGAAGCGTCTACCTTCGTGAAGAAACTTCGATTTCGTATTAACCCCTGGGACCTCTTCGTACGTTCTATTCACGTGCTCGAATTAGATTTCCCAGAGTCGCAAGTACGGCGCATACGCCCGTCTCCGTTCATAACCCGCAATTAAATAGTCATACGTAGCAGAGCCACGGCGCAAACATTCGGATTTACACCGTGCACTTAAACAGTGGTAAATTGCGGATTCACGGTGCAAATACCCATACCCCCTACCATTACCTAGGTACTCTCCATTATGCATTATCTGAATCCGTAGTCTGTAGTTAAACTACGATGTACAATGCGAAACAAAAAACATTGCGATTTTATATAATTTTCTTGGAAGTTTTGGTCAGACATGGTATATTGATTTTATAACATTTTATATGTTTATCTTTCATACATATACACGTACTATTAATTTGATACATCGGTGTATTTATTTTTCTACGCGATTGTACAAATTGGAACATGCTAAAAAATTTCAAATTTATTTAAAAATCCACAATAAATATACGCTAATTCACTCGTAATCCATGAAATTTCTCATTTTCAGTGATATACGGTTATCAATATTAATCCAAAGAAATATTTAGTTAATTCAAAGAATGATTATTTGACTGAGATAAATTCGAATAAATTGGACGGTACATTTCTTCGGAATCATAACAATTTATTTCTGTCAGTCAATAATTCTTGGAATTAACAAAATATTTCTTTGGTTCTACGAATTCTCTTTTCTGAGGGTAGAAATGAATTTTTTTGTCGCTCAGCGTAAGTGCATGCGCACTTAGCGCCGACGGGAATCTTCGAATCTAATGGCGGCCGTTCTCGAATTGCAGGTATAAAGCGAATCGTTGCGTGAGCGGGGGCGGGAGCCGCGGAAACGGTGCAACCGGTGCGACCGGGGCAACTGGAGCGACCGGAGGCGGAGGGCTCGGCAGCGGAGCAGCGGTCGCGGGCCGCGGCTGGGCCGGGGGAGGGTGCGGCGGCGGCGGCGGCGGCGGCGGCGGAGGCGGCGGCGGGGGCGGCGGCGGCAGCCCCGGCAGGGGCGTACTAGACGGGGGGGCGCCACCACCGACCACCGGCCATCACCACCACCACCACCATCACCACCACCATACCACCACCACCACTACCACCACCAGGCACTACAGGCACAAGCTGCCGGCGGGGAAGCAGTGCACCGAGCACCGGCATCACCCCCACCACCACCGGCATCACGTTCACCATCGCTCCCACCACCGTGGCATGAACATGGGCCAAAAGATTTCAGGTTAGCCGACCGACGCCTAACGAGTCGACACTGGGGGAAGAAAGACATTTTTAAAGCGATTTCGTGTTTACTGGATGTTTATTAGATGGACAAATTGAGGTCGTAAGAAATTGAGGAGAATTACATATATTCACTTTTCTTAAAATCCAATAACTAATGATAAAAAGTTTCTTAAGTAAAGTTTGAGTCCCACGCGTCGCTTTCGCGCTCTTCAGATTTCATGTTGAAAAAACTCAGGGCATTTGAATGATATCGACAATTGACCGCGCACTCACAATCTGACGAAACGCGCTCAACATTCCAGACGCATTTTCAGACGAACTTTTCGACACAGGATAAAAGGAGCGCTATCGCGCCGCTTAGATCTTTTCGCATCCCATTCAGAAAGCGCTATTGCGCTGCTCGGCTTTTTTCGACCGTTTTTTTAAAAACCTCTGGTACTCAAACGGGTAAACCGGTATGAATGTGTTATATATATATGAAAGTCTAAATATTTATAAAACTTTTTCCGTCAAACTGGAGGCAGTGAAAAATTCGAAACTTAAAACGTCATTATGTAGTTCTTGAAATTCATAAAATTATAGTTTTCGAGCAAAGGGTTTTTTATTTATACCGGGCAAGAAGAAAAAAAGAATTTCTTTTCAAAAAATGAAATTTTGTGAGTTTTCAGACCTTCGTTAGGATCTCCATAGTGACGTGTTTAAATTTCTAATTAATCGGTGCACCCTGTTTGGGGAAATTTGTTATCAATATTTGGACGCATTATTATATATAGGACGACCCTTTCATATTGCCTTACCTTAGACAGCTGTTTCATTGGCGTTGTATTTTTTGGGTACAGCGTTGGAATGAAAAGTTGGATTGATTGAAACAGTTTAAAAGAAATAATTATGTTTCGGGGAGAAAATAGAATTTCAAGGAATTAGAAGAATAACTGATGTTTCTCATACTTTTAATCGTTACCTGGGAACTCGTTCTTGTGAACCTTAAGCAATATTTAATTTATTTTTAATAATTTTGTCGTATCTAAGTTGAGATCAGCACAACATTCTATCCAGAATGTGATATAATTTTCATGAATATTTTCATTACCAGAGATTAACTTTGCGAATAAGATGTTTTTTGCAAAATCATTATACACTTGATGTTGATTTGTTATCATTTTCATTGCAACGCTGGTTGTTACAAAATCTGTTTTACTGTAGCCGAGGAATTTCTTTAGCGAGAAATACTTAGATCGCTGTAAGCAATCAATTTCGCCTAGAAAATAAATTTTTCCCTCGGTGTACACGACACACCCGGTCTTTTGGGACTTCGAGTCCTGGATCTCTCCTGAGTCCCTTTGCGCCTCCTCGCAACTTCGGAGATACGGTTATGGCCCAAGTTCCAACTCTGGTCGTGTTTGCGAGTTCGAATTGTAATTCCGCCTCCAGGCTTGGATGGTGTATCTTCCTCCCGGTTGTATTGCAGGATTTAGAGAGTTGGAAAGAAGTTGATCGGGGTTGGTGAAAAGCTTGTAGGCAAGGGAAGCTGTTAAGTCCATAATTGAATGTTTTCCAAATACCTCGCGTAACGGTAACTGTAAGCATATTTGTAAAAACTGCCTGATTAATTCTTAAAAACAGAACCTTGGATTAATTTTCTTGCAGTCTAATTGGCCGTTTTTACTGTTTTTCTTTGGATTATTGATACACGAGGTATCTAAGAATTCCTTAAGGTGATGTGAAAGAGGCATCTGAGAGATCAATCGTTCATGAAACTTTACTGCGAATTGGGTGTACCGAATCTTTTGAAACTTTACAACGTGAATACGGAGGCTATAGGAAGGTCCTAACACCCATGAAATTTCATTTATAATACAAATTTTTTAAAAGTTCTATAAACAAATTAAAAAAGAATTGAAATTTCACGGGGGTCAGGACTTTTCTTATAGCTTCCATATTCACGTTGTAAAGTTTGAAACGATTCGGTACACCCGGTATAAATAAGACCTCTTTGACGCCATTTCTATATCACCTTAAAGGGCTTTACGATTGATCTATGCATATCCATATCGTAAAAAAAATAATCTTAATTCCAGCTATTTCCAAAAAAGGAGTGGTATTATTACATGATTTTCTTGTTGTTTGATTCATTATTCCTTCTGTATAAGTATTATAATCAAATTTTCTACAGTGGTCCAGCTAGGATTAAAAATAGGAAGTTCCTTTTCTGCTATTAAACATTAATACATTGCATATCTAGAAGAATCCCGTAGAAAACTGAATGGATACACCCGAATAAAAAGGGATGGTGACCTTTGGAGTATTTTCGACCAATTCGACCTCTTCAACATCTCTATGTACCCGATCTCTCTTGAGTGGAAACTGCCCTCGTCTGTTTCAGTCGCAGGACCAGTTTAACCGAAAAGGGAATTAAGGACGATGATTAGACCCCTAGTTCTTATAATTAATGAGGGATGGTTATTTACTTCTCTCGTGGTCTCTTCAAAGGAAGTCACCAGGGGCATCGGAAGAGGCAAGTGGATCGTATCGAAAGCTGGCTCGATCCGCGGCGGATCGTCGATCATTCTCTTTGGGGCTCGTCCTCCTGGAAAACGACGTCCCGTAATCCGGACCACTCCCGGGTCCTTTCTCCATGGAATCGATTCGTTATTAATCCACCGGCACGGCGCCTGCTCCGGAAAACGAAGAGACGCATCAGCTGCTACCGCCAGGAAATTTACGAGCCGGCGTATTATCCCCAAAAACCGTCGGGAAAGGACCATGAAAAGAGCGATGGAATATCCTTCGGGAAACGGCCTCAGGAAAGGGACGTGCCCTGCCTCTTCCCGTTGGTCCTGCAGGACCCCCGATCTCTTGCCGAAACAGCTGCTCGCGAATCGCTGACCCCATCGCCTAACCTACCTCACAGGAGTAACGCCATTGGAAATCTGCAGATTCACGTCCTTTTTTTCGCCTCTTTCAAAGAGTCCTTTGGTAATTTCCCAACGGCCAAGGATCTCTTCCTCTCGGATTCGTACCTCGCCATTCAGGTTCGCCTAAGCTAATAAATTACTAAGATGAATGATGCTCCGGTTGTTGGGACTTATCCTCCTTTTATAGAAAATTCGGTAACTCATGGATGTATTATTTTTCAAGTCAAGTGACTACCCCGAACGAAATCTGGAAAAATAAGAAGTCTTGTGATAATAGCATCTTTACTTGCCGTTATCAACGAGATTAACTGTGAACGTGTGAAACACTTTTGAAATGGAATTAATTCAATTTCAAAAGTGTTTCTACAAAATTCAAGATTCTCATCACTTGGCCTGCGATGCTGATATTTTCGACGAAATCAGTTTTCCCCGGAGCCAAGAGCTTTCTTTGGCATGAAGAAATCTAGATTGCGCAAGTGATTAATTTCGCCCAGAAAATAATATTTTCTCTCGGAGGAAGCGTTTTACTTCAGGCCGTTCAACATCCCTCTTAGCTTCGGCTAGAGTTCCTCGCTCATCTTCCTCGAGTCGCTTGGTCCTATCAGGTGAAAGCTCCGTCGAAAGCTCAGTCTCGAAGAGTTGTCACCTATTTATACACCCAAAGCAGTGACTCACCGGGTCGTTTTTCCTTCCCGTCGCAGAAAAGTGCAGGCTGACCTTTTCAGGCCACTCGGTGAATCTCGGATTGGTCGATTTGCATTCCACGTTTTCCCTCGGCCATCTGCATCACAAAGGCGGCTTTCGTTCCTCGCGTCGTAGCTGGTCATCGGAGGTAGCGGTTTGCCTTCGCTTTGTTTGGCCAGAGGAGCCTCGAAGAGAAAGGGAGGGCTTTTTAATGAGCGTGCGAATTCTCACTTTCAGGAGGCGTGAAGAGCGTGACGCGCGAAAGCGGCGCTGGCACCGGCGGTGGCGTCGGTGTCGGGGGTGGAGGCGCCGTCACGTACAAACCCGTCGTCCCCAGGGAACTGGCCCAGGACTTTTCAAGGCCTGCGCGTCTCGATGTGCTCCTCGACATGCCATCAGTCTCCAGGGAGACTCAGGTCCACCACAGCTGGAACGCCGACGACCGGAGTCTCAACATATTCGTCAAGGTGATCTTTTATTTTTTATTCCTATGGAAGAGAAAGAAATCATCAAAAGCGACGTCTGGGAAAGGGGTGGTTCCTTTCCGGGATATGGTAGAATTTTTACACGCAGAAAAACACTTGGCTGAACCAATAAAATTTGTCTTGTTTCGTTTTTAACCAAAGAACATGGATATTGTACAGGGTGTAACAGAAATGGTGGTCACGGTTTATACAGCGCTATCCTTGTTGAAAAAAGAGTCGAAAAGTCCTGTACTATTTTTTCCTGTCGTGCATAATTTTCCTCTAAACGTCAGTATTTAGCTTTTCTGCCAGTGAGGTTATTTTTATGCAGTCGGAGTGTAATCGCTTTTAAAACGCACCGGAATGCGCGAAAATATCTATTTAAAACGCGAGGACGCTAGAAAAGAAAGATGGCCGCCACCCATTCCTTCGCCTTGCGGCTTAAGCTTCGCTTACTTGGCAAAACCCTCCACGAATTTCTTTCTAGACCCATGTTGGAAATAAACAACGCTACAATGCTCATTACGAGTCACTGGATTCGAGCTGGTTCTTTCGTTAAAACCCCGTAGACCCTTTTTCCAAACAGAGAACAATTGTTCCAATCCGGAGACTTTCAATGGCCGCTGCCGCGGGCGATTTTGCGCTTTTGACGCCACGGATGCGTGATGGTACCCAAAGCGATTGCAACATACACATGTGACAAGTCAACCGGTCGTCAATGCTCGTCAGCGTATCGAATACTCGTCGTTAACTCGATATACATTGTCTACTCGGTGAAAACACGTCCACGGTTTAACGCCATGGAAACGTAGAAACGGCGCTTGGAGTTTAGGCCTGCGCGTATCGATGAACTTAAAACGTAATGATGGTTTTCAATCACGGGCGAAAGTGTTTTCCGCGCAATAGTAAAGTCCCAATTTTCCACCACTTGCCCTTTCCGACACATCGATGCTCCTAAAACCTGTAATTTATCGTTACCGCGTTGGGCTTCGCACATTTCGCTCTTCATTGCATTTAATCAAGAAACGGCCGGTCCTAAACTGCATAATACCCAGGGTACATATAATAGAATATAATTGCGGTCGTAATTCACTTTGTATCAAAATGTCAGTCACCTCCTCTGTATTTAGCTCAGTAGTGCCGCAATTACCTGGGCATTAACCGAGAGTGGCGGCGCAAACTGGTACATCGCTAACCTCGTTGATCCAAGAGGTGTCCCTAAGAACTAGGAAGTGGTACCACACACGCTGTTTGCGTATTCTCAGACAAACCGGGAACTTTTGCGAGCGTTCTACGAGTTTCTCTTCCCATCGGTTTCTATATGCTTGGCGGAGTGCGCATGGTTGCCCATTTATTTTCACTGGGTACGAATTCCACGCGCACCTCGCGACGCGCATGCTGATGCGTTTTAGGGTAGCCGGAAATTGAGCGGCAATTTTTCATTAAAAAGTAATTGGCTGATCTTCTTTCGCAGGATGACGACAAACTGACCTTCCATCGACACCCAGTCGCACAAAGTACGGACTGCATAAGAGGGAAGGTGGGATACACGAAGGGCATGCATGTCTGGGAACTGCATTGGAGCACAAGGCAACGAGGCACCCATGCAGTGGTTGGCGTCGCGACAGCCAACGCCCCATTGCATAGTGTTGGGTACCAGAGTTTAGTGGGCAACAACGAGCTTAGCTGGGGATGGGACCTGGGAAGGAACAAGCTCTACCACGACTCGAAGAACAACAATGGCGTCACGTACCCCGCCTTGCTGAAGCCCGACGAGACGTTTATCGTTCCTGATAAGTTCTTAGGTAACGACTGTGACTTCGTGCATTGGGCTGTTCCATAAATTTGTAAAGGTTCAACAATTAAAATGGAACTTCTTATGGCATTGCAGTACCTATGGGTTCGCGCGTTATGAAGGGGGGCGATTTGAAAAGTGAAGAATTTCTTTTTTTAATTTTGTTCCCACAGGTAATTACAATTTACATTTGTCCTTGTGTACGCCATGATGATGGGTTGGGTAGTTTCATAAATTTGTAAAGATTCAATAATTGAAATTCACACAGGCACACTTCGCGTAAATTTTATTTCTGCAGTTCACTGCATCATATTCATCTTTATGTATTAATATCGAGGCGATTTGCGTAAACATTAGTGTTAGAAATATAATATAGAAATAATTGTATCCAACCCAACCAGTTTCGAACCTCGTAAGTGCATTTCGTGAAAGAATAATGAAGCTCAGTATCATCTAGTAATTCTGTTGAACTTAAAAATTCCTCTTTAAATGCGCAATTATTATTTTTTTCAACAAAATGAACAACGTGTTGTTTAATAGAGTATCCTGCGGCACTTTAAATGAATTCATGCCACGCTTCCAGTAACTTTACATAAGCATGCAAATATCTTAAGAAAAAAAATTCGCTGCAAAAAAATAATTTGTCAGGCATTTACGGAGCACCCCAGGACGTTTCAAGGAAGAGGGAGTGGAGAAGTGAGCAAGGACTAATGAGTTTGAAATTCTTGCAGTGGTACTGGACATGGACGAGGGCACGTTATCCTTCGTGGTGGATGGCCAGTACCTGGGAATAGCGTTTAGAGGCCTGAAGGGGAGGAAGCTGCATCCCATCGTCTCCGCAGTCTGGGGACACTGCGAGATCACGATGAAGTACATCGGCGGCCTTGATCGTGAGTATCCAAGAGTAGAAGTCTCGTCCCTCTCGTTTAGCCGTCTAGTCAACAAAAGTATGACAAAAAAATCGGCGACCTCGTTCCTCCCCGTTCTCCAGTTAGAAGGTTGCCCACCATCATTGGAGGTCGCTGACAATTGGCGGGAACTCGGTGCGCGAGGACGGAGCGATGATTACGTGTCGTTAGTCTCATAGAGATCACCTGACGTTCCTATTTCTTTCCTCAGCCGAGCCTCTACCCCTGATGGATCTCTGTCGAAGAGTGATCCGACAGCGGATCGGCAAGCACCGACTAGAGGAGAAGATCAACGAGTTGAACCTGCCCCAGGCGATGAAGACTTATCTCCTCTACCGGGACAGGAGGTAACCACAGGGTGCCACCGATGAAGATTCAGCGTTAACGATCACGACTACGACTAAGACCACCACGCGATATCGATTACTATCTGAACGCACAGGGGACCGCCCGACAACCCCTTCGCACGCGATTGACCACAGCCCACTGATAGCCGCGTGTCTCCACGGAGGAAGCGAAACGCGACGCGTTGACACGTTCAACGACAGAAGCTAGAGAGCCGAGCAAGTAGATAGGATTCCAGGTTAAAAGAGGGAAACGAGGGAATAGAGAGCAGGCAAGCAGCGAGGGAGTGCGACAACTCGGTCGTCGAGGCCTCAGTCGTTCGTCCGTGCGAAAGGCCGGGTCGGACAGGTCGAGACGAAGAGTTCGAAGCCGTCCTGAAGAGCCGTCAGTCGTTGCCACTGACGGCCACGTCGAGCGAATCGCGAATTAGACCCTGGCGAGGGTCGACACCGACCCTGACGGGACGCGTTGGGGAACGTCAATGAGGAGAGCGAGGCGACGAGTCGAACGACTGGCTCGACGAGGCAGGGACCTAGCGAATTATTAGGTGATATTGTTGTTTTATGTTGTCTATGCGATTAAAATCGTAGAGCGTTTATTGATTGTTATATTGCACCGTTCGCGCGGCGGTTGGTAGCCTTGCGCATCAAGCGGACCCGCGGTATTTCTTTTCCTTTTTAGTTTCTGCGTTGTTCGAGCGCTCTCGAGCGAGGCCAATGTGAGGTTAGGTGAGAGAAGGGAAGTAGAGAGATGGAGTAACGGTCGAGGAATAGGATGAAGGGAGACACGTGGCTCGGGGTCCAGGATCCGGACACTCTCGAGGGCCTCGCCGATGAAAAGTCAGACTTGGGCGACCCTGGAGGACTTAGTCATTGGTCACTTCGTGCTCTGAGCTCATCCGGAGAGCTGCGAACGGGGAGCGGGCTTGCTCTAGTCCGACCTCGACGAAGGGAACACAAAAGACGACGACTGCACCGACGACGATGACGAGGACGAAGAGGAACCGCGACGCCGACTGTCGCGCAAGGACTCCAACGCCCAGGACCGTGGATGTGTCAGATGACGGAAGCAGCCGAACAGCCACCTTTCACGGATTCATTTTTTCCAAGTATTTTTTAAGTGCGATAGGTCTAAAGAAGTAATTAGTGGTGCGCGTGTATCGTGATCTAGGATGGAAGAAACGGAAAAAGGAGAGGAAGAGTACGTCGCGGTACTGCGAGTGGCACGCGGTATTCGAGCAATTGTGTAAGATTAATTAGACGAACCGATAATATAGAAGGCGGTCCAGCCCTTTCGCCGTCAGGCCCGGAATGGGATGGACTCGACGAGGAGGGAACGTCTCGATAAGACCAGAGGATCCGGAAGTGCGCACCGAGGTTAAAATGCTGACGTAGGGGGAAAAGATTACCTTGGCTAAGTAATAATGTTAATCGGAGGAGAGACACGCCTACTACTACTGCTATTACTGCTGCTAGGCGGACATGTAAGCGACTCAGCACACGGGCATTGACAGGATATTCCAAACACGAATTAAAACTGTCATCGATCGAGAGCCGCGCTACTCTCCGTGTAATCCGACGACGGCGCCGATTGTCGGGCGTGTAACTACTACTACTATTAGCATGACAACTTATGACTGGTCCCTAGTAACTTTAACTCTTGCGTTTGTCCCTTCTGTCGACACGCCGTCGCGCCATTCGATTTGTACATAATACTACATTAATATGCCGTCGACGAGTGTCCTTGCGCGGTGATCTCGCGATACTCTCAGGTCGGTGGACGGCCACGAGCGATACGTCCGAGCCTTCGGATTTAATCGCACGTCGGGATGCTTACGGTGCTCGACATGTCGAGCCTTCTCGACCTATCCTCCTCCGTGCTCTCCGGCTTCTAAAGGCGAGCAACTTCGAAAAATTAGTCGGCGTCCGACGTGTCTTCCAAATTACTCGGTTTGCGTCGAGGCGCGCTTCACGTTTATGCGTGAATCTAATTGTTGAATCTGTTCCTAGACCGAATCGTAATCTCGCTGATACAAAACTTGTAATCTTGCACGAATGGCTGCATACATACCATACTCACTGAACAACTTGAACCATTTTGTCATCACCGAAAATTCGCTTCAATGATACATGATATCACATGAGTATGTACCTAACGACATCCAAAGGACATTTTTCTGTCTCATGGTCCATTGTTTATGCTGGAAGCGCATTTATTTAAAGCGATGGACAGTGCTCCTGAAATCGCATTAAGCGCAGGTGAATTAAAATTTACGGGAATGTGTGGTCACTTGAGACCTATTGTGTATGTTTTGTGACATTAGCGAGAGGACGGAAACGTTAAAGAACAGCGATTGTAACTGAAATGTCGCCATGTCCGCCCGCGCAACCGGATCCCCTTCCCCGTTTCGACGACGTGTACCGACAAGAGTGAAAACGAAAGAAGCACGTTCGAAAAGCTCTGGTACTTCTCGGCCCTTAACGAGAGGGCCTGGTCGAGGAGAGAGCGAGTCGAGGAGGGAGCGAGTCGAAGAGGGAGCGAGTCGAGGAGGTCGTTGGGGCGAGGCTCGAGCACCATGCCCTCCCGTCCACGTTAGACCACTCATAATTTGTCGTATTTTATAGAATTATACGAAGCCTCCGAGCCTCGTCATTCATCCTGGACGAGCGTGAGCGTCCCGTATTCACAGGCTCGCCTTGTCCGCGATGAAGGGCCGAGAGGAGCGCGAGCCTAAAAGCAACAAAGCGCATAATAGTATAAATTCTAGGTTACACCCAGAGAAAGAGAGGGAGGGAGAGAGAAAATGGGAGAGAGCAAGTGAGCGAGTGAAAGCGAGCGAAAGAAAGAGAGAAACCACGAGAGCGGACGTACCGCATGTCCAGCTCGGTGCATAGAGAACAGACGACGCGCGGCCACGTGCGTTTGACAGCGCAACGGATGAGGCCCCTGCCCGGTGCGCGCATGCGCACTTACCCTAGCGCGCTGTTATCGCGACACTATTTTATAAAATCTAGGGCGCACGTCGCATCGCGAGAATCGAGGACAGGACAAATAGAGTTAGAATATTGTACATATTATTATTGTATTAATATTATTATATCAATTGATAGTTTAATTAATTAAGCGATTATCGTGTTAGTCGGCATAATGTGGATTCATTTTATATGGTAGGTTCGCGACGCGCCGGGTGATACCGGCGCGAATGTGAGTATTTTCACTTGCGGAAAGAAAGCGCAAGATGGCGGCGGGTGGACGCTTGCCGCGCAGCTTGTAAGACACCTATAGACGAATGTGAATCACGAGGACAAGAGAAAAAGAAAGAATTACGGACGCGCCCAACGGTCCAACGTAGGGTCCAGGGCCGCGCGCGCTCTTCCTATAATTTTAAACGCCTCGATGAGTAAACCAATAAACTAATAATGAAAGAAATAAACATGGAAACGAACTCGTGTTTTTATACATACATTCGACGGTGCACTCGAGTCTCTCTTTATTTGTCGCTCTTCCCTGATTTTTCTCACGCTTTCTTTCTGCTTCACTTCATCCCGCTTCGTTCTCTTTTTTTTTATCCCCTTGGTAAGAACACGGCGCGTGTTCGCCCATTAATTTTCGCTCACGGCGTAACACCCTCGCTTGTTTAAACCTTGCTCCGTATTCATATATTCCGACGCTCAAGATACATCTAAAAAAACGTCTACAAACTGCGCATGCGGTAGAAGGTATTCAGGTGGCGATTCAAGTTGTAATAACCGAGACACTGAATTATGAGAAAATGAAAGTAACTCTGCTTCTAACGTCGCATTGACACCGAGTTTAATTCCTACTATTATATGATTATTGTATCGAAATCTTTGTTAAGTGACACAATTGGCCTTTTAGTTGTCGGAATTATTCCTTTCTATGCCTTAACGTTAGTTGCGTGTTTCGATCTACGTTGTCCATCTTTGTTGCCGAATCTTGTATGTCTCTTGAACGCGAATCTGGAACCAGGTCGGAAAATGACACTAATATTGAGATTAAGGATCACTTCCGAGGACTAAAGTCATAAAGTCACTTGACAATGGCGATTGGAAACCGACCCTTGCGTGGGTACTTATGGCATAATTGGCATTGCATTTTAACGAGTTATTGACAGCGCATCGTCTCTCTCGCTCTTCCGGCTCAATAATGAAGAGTCGACTCGAGAGGCGAAGAACTCATTTGTCCTCGTCGCTCTCTCTTCTCGCTGTGATCCTTTCTTTCTCTCTTTTCACCCAAAAATGGCTGCGGAGGGGCGTCGGTCAGGGTCGGCGATTTTGACACGAGATCGCTAAAGGAACTGTGCCATTTTTTTAATAAGCGGTGTCTGATAAAACGACCGATCGGGCGAGCCGGCTCGGCTGAAAAAAAAATCTACTCGCGCGTGTCACTCGCTTCGCTTTCAAGGCTCGCTCGAACGACTCGCTCGGTTCGGCACTCGACCCGCGCGATATTGTTTCTGGGCCGTGTGTACATAGTAATACTTTTGTAACGATAATCTAATTACTAAATGAGAGTGCTAAGAAAGTGAAGATTAAAAATCGCAGCGTGCGACATTACGAAGTGAGAACAGAAACGGTGGGAAGTAGGGAGCGGCGAAATTAGGTATTATGTGTCTTGCGAATCGCGAATTCGTCAGCATGCTCTTATTCGGTGCTAATTTCATTTCTTTCGATTAAAAGAAAAAAGGAAAAAAAAAAGAAGTGCATAATACATTACGGGATCTTGACCTCACTTTTGGCAGTTCGTAAGTAGCGAATTAATTAGATAAACGTTAAAAGATAAAAAAGAATTGATCGTGACACTTGTACACTTTTCCAATTTGTAAGGCAGTTCTACCAAAATTCGCAGATTTCGAAATGTCAAATAATCAAGACCCCCTTAACTCTTTCATGCATGGTGACCACTTATGGGGGCATTTGCATGAGGGGGTTGATAACACCATTTTCGACACGATTAGTGTATATTATGGGAGTGATCATTCAGCTTCGCATGGCGTATCTTAGTTGCGTTTTTCAATCACGTGTGACATCACGTTGTTAATTCGTTTTTCTTTAACGGTACCGATTTTGATTAAGTCAACGGACGAATTCTTTCCGTTTCCAGAACTGCGCTAGTGCTAAATTTAATTTCTGTACGCGGGCACAAATTAATTTGTGCGTATACACGCGATGAGAATTACTGTACAATGTGTGTGAAAATGGAGGATCATATTTTTATTTTGGTCGCTGTCGGACATCTTGAGTTTATTTGAATCACTGACGAATCATTTCGCTTTGACGAATGAGGAAAAGTTTTCTTTGCGTTTTACCCGTGTCGACGTCGATTTTTATATCGTTTTCGTTTAATGTGCCCGACGAGTAGGACTGCCGCGGACTCATCGTTGCATGTTGCTTTCATTTATCGTAGAGTCCTTGATTTTTATTTTATCCTTTTTTTTTCTCTGAGTCCTTAAGGTGTTATGAAAGTGGCATCAATCAAAGAGGTCTTGTTCGTGAAGCTTTTCTCCTAACTGGGTGTACCGAATCGTTTAAAAGTTTACAACGTGGATGTGGGGGCTATGAAGAAGATCCTGGCACTCGTGAAATTCTAATGTTTTGAAAATTTGTTCATAGATATTTTCAAAACTTTTTATAGAAAATAAAATTTCATGGGCGTGGGGACTTTCTTTATAGTCTCCATGTTCACGGTTTAAAATTTGAAACTATTCGGTACACCCACTTCGAATAAAACTTTCCCGAACGATTCATCTCTCAGATGTCACTTTCATATCACCTTAAAAGATACGCAAAACCCATCCGAGGTGCGCATCGAACATTTTGTGACGATCAGCGTCAACGGGTTTAGTCAAACTGCCTGCCCACCTGCCTGTAAACTACATTGCCTCGACAAATATGTCTAATTTATTGATGATATGACACAGTTACGGACGATTTTACCTGCAAGTGAATGCGAGAGTTACTCCGAGAATAAATGCGCGCTTCGGTGTTGGACGAGCCATAAAAGAGACTACAAACGTGAGTCAAAAGTCGATCAGAAGGACAACTCTAATCAAGACATTAAGGGAACCGATAATTTTATTTCAGATACGTTGCATTTCCTCTCTAATTTCGAGTTTACTCTGGAATTATGCATGTCCCTTTCCGTCACAAGATTATTTTACGCTATTTCACTTCGGTCTATAGCCTAAACTGCTTGTGCATGCAATGAATAGGGGAACGTCTCAAGAGTGCAGTCTAGACTCGATTTTAGGACATATATTTCTGAATTTTACAGGAATAGGTTCAGAGGAAGATTTTTGCACTAATTTAGTCATTAGTTGGCAGTATTTTTCCGGAATATTTTCCATGCGCTTGCATTTCTTTTTTTCATCTTTTGATCGTACTCTTGACTCACGTTGTAGCCCATGATAAGAGCGAGCTTCTTTGCCCCTTTGACAAGCGTTCCTCGGGCGTGTTCGCGTCGCTTAAAAAGGAAATCTTGCGAGTCCTGGAGAAACCAATCTACAAGGACATTTTCGCCAAAACGGCCTTGTCTTAATATGGACTCATTGTGTCATTGTCGGTGTCGAAAAACGGTGAATGTTTCGAAGTAACCCAGAGGGGAAAGAGCCGGTCATGTCCTTCCCCGGCCGCGCCATGTCCACCGTGTACATGTATTTTACATTTATTTCTTTTGCGTTAAGCCTGGACTATTGCAACGAGCGATCTCACGTCTTTTAGGCATGTAAGGTTTGTAAGTTTAGCGTGGTAAACTGCTGTATAGTGGCGAGTGACGAAGATTCTATTGATATTGTAATGCCTTAATGTTAACGATTACGATGATAGCGCTATTTTAGTTGAACGCCTCGGTACACCCAATTAATCTCGTTTTACCCCCTCTGCTCCATGATTTGATAAGACCTCCATTTCTTTTTGTACATTTCGAAGTGTCTTGACATTATCGACGGAGACGACGACTGCGAAGCTAAATGCGACGACGATAACGATGACGACGACGAGAGTGAACGTGTATAGAGCGGAATGCTGTCTCAAAAATAGTTCAGGCTGGATGTCGATGTTTGTAGCGAATAAACAAAAAAAAACACACAGCATATTGTAATTAAAATTGAAAATCATTAATACGCAGGCTTTTCATTGCTTATGCTTAACCCTCTCCTCCCACGGTCACGTAAAATGATTTATTCCCTCATTTCAATACATAAATAATTCGGTACTAACTCCCGCTAAAAAAAAATGTTTACTTAAGTAAATATAAATTGTTTGAAAACTTCTGCGACTGAACGCAAATATAACATTGTCCTACTCAACTGGCGAGATAACAGGATAGTCTAAACAATAATAATGATAATTGTGAAAAAGAAAATCTTATTTGATTAATACGAGATAAAAGTTCTACATTAATGGCCCGATTTTTGTTAATAAATTCTCATCGTTAAGCTTTACTTTGCGCCGTTTATCGGGAACTTGAAGCAGGGAATATAAAGACTTCTTTTTATCGAAGCTCTTGAGGATTTCCGAAGAATGGGTCATGGAAATTTTGGGAAAGTCGACGTCGCAATCCCGGTAAAGAACGTTGCAGTCGTCGCCACGAAAGCCAGCTGCTCCTGCGTCCTCTACAAGGCGATCCCATCCAGAAGAATTTCGTAAAGAGCTCTCTACGCTGTTCCTGTAAATGTTGGAGAAAAGAATCTACGTTTCAGAAACACTCGGTCCAAGTTTCCTCGGCCTCCATATTACATCGAGAACTTGAGGAAAGCTCGCGCGGAGTATGCCCAAGTTCCGGTAAAGTTTCTCCAGTACGTGGTACCACTCGACGATAGTTTGCAACTGGAGACAAGTACTTTTAGGCAAAGAACGACGGAGTTTCCGCGAGACTTACGTCAGGTATCTGGCCAACGTTTTGCCGGCACTTCCGAGATCCTTGAACAGCCTCCTGTTCTCCAAACAAATAGTCCTCTGGATGCACCGGATTCGTGCGTAGGTGTTCAACACGTCATCCTGTTCCGGAGTCTGAAAATGTCCATGAGCTTGCGACATCAATGTATTTTAAAATAGCGATGAGGCATATATTTTTTACAGTCAAATACACATTCCGCTAATTTTCTAATCACGTTTATTTTCACTGAATTACATGCAGAAAAATATTTGATTGATTCAAACAAATTTTTGTTAGTAAGTGTGCACACGTCATCCTGTTCCGGAGTCTGAAAACTGAGTTTGCGACATCAATGGATTTTAAGATAACAATGAAGCATAAATTTGTTACATTCCAATACACATTCCGCTAATTTGCTAATATAATTTTAGGTTTATTTTCATTGAATGAAGTATTTGGTGTAACAACCAATTTAATATGCTCTACAAAAAATGAGATGTACAAACCGTTTTTTCTAAATTCGCCATGTCTAAAGTATCCCTTTTCTTCCTAGACGTCAAGATATCTACTATGGCGTCCTTGCCCTTGGTCGTCATTATGGAGTTCTGAATGATGGCAAAGAGTAGAAGCAAGCCAATAAAACTGACGACCACGAAGTGCTTCGATGACGGCAATAAATCATTGTTACTTTGCACCACCGGATACCCCAATGAATGATCGTATGGAAATGGAAGAGGTTCAATTTGCGGTGTAGAAACCAGTTGGTTAGTGCGACGAGACTCTGAAATAAAAATAGGCATTGCATGATTAATGATCAATAGTGCCGGTTCATGCCGAACTGGCCTAATTTTTTTTACCCCAGCTTGAATAAGTGATATCTTTAAATTTGGAGCGATCGATGGTGCACAGCAGAGCCTATACCAAATACTAATACTGATTATAATTTACCTGGTATATAATAATTTGACGACAACAGGGGATGGAAGATCGACGAGAATGGCGAGATGGATGATTCTTTCACGTCTTCCTGATCGAAGAACACGTGATTTCCATTTTTAGAATCTAAAGTTACGTTTTCTAAGGTCAATCCTATTATGCCGTTCGCCATTATGCTGAAAAGGAGGGTCTGGATTATCCAGCTTGCTCGAAACGTCGTGAAAAATTTGAAAGGAATCGCCATCTTCGACGTTTCTTAGAAAAATATGTCGCAACTAAAGGTTGTCTGTATTTTGTCCAGGCCTTATGTAAACTTTCCCGGTAATATTTTCCGCCTTATATTTAACGAAATAATGGAGTCCACAGGAACCCTGCAATCATTTGCTTCGCCGAATGGAATACTTGGTACCAATTTTTCACGATGCCTAAGAAGGGAAGAGATTTATTTCCAGAAGGTACTAATTTTGATAAATTAAATTAAACTATCATGTAAAAACTGTAAATATTGCTAACATTTCTTTTATTAAAGGAAAATGAATTAAGAAAGAAATTTGGGTTACATATTTATAGTATACGTTTAAAAATTATTTTAGCTGAACTAGTTGAAAAATTGCAGATGAAATCTTGGGACTCTTATGATCTGTAGCCATCCCCTCTGATATATTGTGAAATCGCTCCGAAAGCTTCCAAAATGTCCAAGATTATTTTAGATGCATCATTTTATATTCAATGCTTCTCAAGATTTGATATGAAACGGTTTTAGTTCTGCAAATGAAATATCAGGGGACGCTTATGTGATTTGGGGCCTTCCCTCCTGATATCGTCACCGAAATCGGAAGCTTACAAATCGTCTCTTCGACACTCCGAATGCTCTCAAAAGCCCCACGTCACCGAACTTTTATCCCCGTTCATTCGGGAAGACCACACGTAGGGGAGAAAATGTGATATCGAAAAAAGATAATCCCTTATCCCCGCATCTCTGACATAACGAGACCCCGAAGTGGAGGAACGGAGTTCGTCGTGCAAAACTGGGGTTGACAAATTCGATTGCGAATATTTAAAATTTGTCATCATACCTGATAAAATGTTCGACACACTCTTCGACTAACCTTGAATGCGATCAGAATAACTAATGAGGAGAATTTAAGACGGCCTCAAGAATGAACAATAAAAACAATTATTANTTTTCATACAGAAAACCATAATCTCTTTTCGACGATACATTCAAAATATCTTCTTCAAATTCTACAATATTTATCTATATACACACACATATATATTTTAGCTTAATAGCATAATAAAATTTCTGCAAAATTTCGATATCATCTCCTTTCATCCTTTCTTTTGAGCGACTGATCTTCGGAGACAATCTCAGTTTTTCCGGGGTAGCAAATTAAATCGGAAGTTAACAAATCGTCCCGACACGTCGGAAGGTTCGTAAAGGACGGAGTCGTCGAACTTCCACCCTCGGCCTGTCGCTTTAAGTCGTGAAAGGGGAGCGAAGCGATTTCAAAAAAGATAATTCTATATTCCCGCAGCGCCAACATTGCTCGAGACTCGTCGGGAAGGGGAACGGGGTTAGCCGAGTCCTAGGGGTTGCTATGGCGATGGGACGACAAGGGGGTTGCTCGGGGGTACGTCTGTCTGAAGCCGTCTATAAAGGGGATGATATTCTACTTGTTCCCCAATCTATCGTCATGCCCACGCAAGTTATTCTACGCCAGCTGAGCGCGAGGGTGATACCTCGGTTACCTGGTTACACCTACGAGATCTCGACCTCTTGTCTGCACCATAAATGTCCCCTTCGCGATGGGACACCATGAGTGGGAAGCACAGATTTTATGGGCTAAGGACGATCTCGATGATAACGAGTGGGAGCTTACGGATCAATTTTACCTTAATTATTTATTATTAGAGCACTTTCGATTCCTTGATGACGATGAGGTGATCTAGATAATGAAAATAAAAAAATAAACAGTTTAGTGGGTGAGGGGGATCTTTTAAATAAATTTCCTCAGAATATTTATGATTAAGATTCTTGTAGTCCATATATAGATATTTACTGTTAGAGCACTTTTGATTCATCGACGACGATGAGGTAATCTAGAAAATGAAAATACAAAAGAAAACAGTTTTACTTTACATATTTATGATTATGATTCTTGTAGTCTATATATAGATATTTATTGTTAGAGCACTTTTGATTCATCGACGATGATGAGGTGATTTAGAAACTGAAAATTAAAAGGAAATAGTTTAGTGGGTGAGTGGGATCTTTTAAATAAATTTCCTCGAAATATTTATGATTATAATTCTTGTAGTTCACAGACCATTGGATGATTGTAAATCTTCAAAAATAGCATTGCGATATTTCACTTAGAGTATTTGTAATTTAAATTTCTTAGTTACCGGGAATGAAGCGAGCTCTGGAAGCTGAAGAAACAGTGCATCGGAAAATAATGGAAGAGTGAATGTTTTCAAGTAAATTTTCTCTTAAATCGGCATGATTGATTGTGCTTTAATTTTTCGGTAATGATAAGGCGATCAAGAAACTGTAAAAATGGTATACTGGAAAAGAGTTAAAGAAATGGTAAGTGGAAGTCTTTAGAATATTTATAACTCATGATAAATTCTCTTAACCGAGAAATAAATATTTATTAATTTGATGTGCCGAACTTTGTTATTAAGTAGTCGGTGCCGCATGCTTCTTTACGTATTTGGCGCGAAACTCTACCGAGTTTCTTGATCACAGCTTTTTAGGTTACCGGGGGAAATGAGACAATCTTCAGGCTGTAAAAATAACACTGAAAAATAATCGGGGAGTGAACGTGATTATCTAGGAACTACAAAAATAAAACTCCGAATAGAAGTTAAGGTCAGGGATCAGGTAATTGAAATGAAACTGGAACAAGCAGGTTTCAGGTAAACAATCTTAACCTGGCCAAGGTTCGTCGACTACGATATGATGATATGGTAGTATGTTATGATTAAGTCTCACCGTCGGTAAAATCAATATTGTGTGAGGAAGATTTGCCAAGTTTGAGCAACTTTAGCTTAATTTGCCCACTAAATCAAGGACGTAACTAGAACGAAAACCGCACGCGATACGTCAATGAATGCAAATTCATAGAGGAGTACACTTATATCGTATGATGAAGTGTAGGCCAAGTAAAGGAGGTGGAAAACAAAACGATATCTACTTAAATGTTAATGAACATAAGTGTAAGTAATAGTAGTAGTTTATTTATCCTGCGTTTAGTTTGTTACAACCATTACAGAGTATCCGGGTGAACGTCTTTAGGCGTAGCGTGTTTGTTACATCTTTGCCTACCTCAGTTTGGCCCGGCGTTTCATCGCTTAATCGCTTGACACTTTCTCTACCTTTTTATCTATTTATTAAGAAAAACATAAAAAACAAAATTCCTTCCATCCTTCTGTATCCACTGCGCTTCGCTTGAATCAGTGGGGAGAGTAGACGAGGAGTGCGCAGCGCCATATCGTCAATTACTAATTGTAAGTAATATATAAATTGTAAATAAAAAAGGTAATAA